TTTGTGACCCACGTAGGGATCCCGACCCTAACTTTGGGAACCAATGATCTACAGTATATCACTGGACATGAGTAATTGCGAAATCTTTTTTTTTTTTTTTTTTTTTTTTTTAAACTGGCAAAATATTTTTTAAATACTACAAATCAGTCATTTTTGAAAATATTGACTTGAACATGGTGTATTAACATTTCATTTCTACAAGCAGAGATTTTAATATTTACTAATTATTAGCATAGTATTTCCTAAAACTCTCAATTAAAAATACATGATACTAAATGTTTTTAGTTTTACTGTTTGTTTTCCTCAATAACCTTTAGAATTGAACTCCACACCTTGCATTGTTTTGTAAAAGAGGAATCTATGCTAATTTGGTCACATCTACTAAATTAGCATATATTTCAACCAGTCTGAACTACTTCTCTCTCTGCAGATTTAAACTTGAACTCCCTTGCTATAGCATTACGACTTGAAACATACAAAAAGCATTTCATGAACCCACAAAAACTTACATTAAATAGATGAGGAATTTAAAATGGCCTTCATGCATAATCAAATTTTGTCAAATTAAAAATAAATAAAACACAGACAGATTGCTCCTATAATGTATCCTAGTTAAATTAAAGACAAAAACACAAACATTTTCCCTTTCTTTATTTCAGCATTATAAAATTTTAATCAGCATACAAAACAGTATCCAATACTAAAAAATACTCTTATTTAATTTATATGAGGCAGATTTAAAATGGTCTTCTGGTTACAAAATACTTGATTAAAAATGAGAAATGATTTGTTAATACTTTTATGCTTCCAATTGCKAGATTAATTTTTTTCTTGATCATCGTACAAACATTATTAAAACACATTTATGGAAAGCTGAATTTAAAGAGATTGAGCTTCTAAAGGCACTTTGTTCTATGTACAAATTAAAATAAAATTGCATATTAAAACTGCAGTCTTTCTAAGCGAAACCAAAGTATTCCTTCATTTGCTTTATTTGTGTGTTTAGTCTGAGACAATAACTGTAAGAACTCCTGAGCTAAGGTACACATGTTCACTCTTCTATGATTAACAACATAAAATCTACAGCAAAACGATAAAAGTATTTACAGTAAAATAAAAATTCCCTCATAAAAACTGACAACATAAAAAGAGCCTTTAAGTTTCCATATGAACCGTATAAAACCTGTGTTCAGTTTGGCGTTAACCCTTTCAGCACTTCTTGTTTTTATTATTGTGTTGTGAGCGCCTTCAAGTCACTTTATTTTTTTCTCAGCAAATATCTGATTATTTCATACACCAGAAAAAGACAACACAAATATACTGAGGAACACTACGCATTACTTTGCAGAAAAAAATAATTGCACTGAGTTAATTGTAAGCAAACGTGCTTCAGGTTAAACCTTTCAAAAGCCGGACTCTTCTGTCCATGAAGYGAACACTCGTCACACCCTGAACCCTTAGTTGTGGACTTATACTGGTTTCTCCCAATTTTATCTAACAGACTTGCAATTTCCACCAACTTGCAGGTTTTGTACCGAGGGGTTTTTCATGTCAACCTGGTGTAAATCAAATAAACGTTCTATTTCTTCAGCATCAGCTACATTTTGGACTGAAAACCTTTAGCTTTTTCAAACCTAACAATCGAGTGGAACTTCCTTARACCATTTAAAACAATCCAGGACAGATCTCTGTATTGCAGAGGAAAAGCAAACTGTGAATATGCTAGTCCCACATGGCTCTTTTTGTAGCCCTAATACACTTCGCATAGGCCTCCTGCAAATCTACCTGGTGAATATTGGACATGACTGGGGTTTCTAATCTACAGCCGCTAAAACACTGTCCATGYTTAACAATCAGTCGAGTCCAAGTCGCTCTGCTGCAACTGGTATTCACCAGCTCTTCCTGTTGTTTGAATTTTTTGTTAGCTTCAGTTTCTTGACCTCTTTGAGGACGTGCTCAGCCTTCTTCAGTTTCTCCAAGGCTTTAGCCAACAGATCCTCTGGCACGTCCTCCCCACAACTTCCCCCCTGTGCCTTGCTCAGGAGCTCGCTGGTTTTTTCCATCTCCAGAGCCACTTCAGTCTCCAGTTTCGTGACGTCATCGTTTAGAGCTGGTGGTTTTTTCGCCACCGCTCTGCTGCACTGTTTCTTCTGTGTGCAGTTTGAAGACTCAGACAGCAGGTCGCTGATGGAAGCCGACCTGGGCTTGGTCTGGGGTTTGGGGGGTTTCTGAAACGGTTGCGACCGCCGACAGGGGAGAGCGTTTGGTCTAACCTCAAGGTCAGCCGATGGCCTTAAAACAACAGATATCTCGGCGTTGTTGTCACAGGCGTCCAAAACGTCCAGGGCGGCATTGCTTCCCCGMAGTGCAGCTGTAGAAGCCCCCATGTCTTCATACCCGGAGCCTTCACTCTCATCGTCTGAGTGCTGACCACTGTCTAYGGATTTTTCCTCTGCCTTCTTTTTCTTCTCTTCAGACAAATGACATAGAAGGCYGAGGCTGTCAGTGAGGGGCTCGTTACAAGAGACAAGCACTGAGGGGACGGTACTCTGGGGGTGGGTCCCTGGTGCTTGAAGAGGTGCAGTATCGCAGGCTGTAGAGTTCAATGCCTCATCAGGCTGAGTTATAGACGAGGCGTCTTCTTTGTTCTGCGTGGCAGGTGGAGTGTGTTTCTCAGAACTTATGTTGGAGTTCACAGGATTTGGGCTCCTTCTCTGTGGTTCTGAAGGCTTTTCTTGGTCGTGGTCAGACGTCTTACTGCTCTCAGGTGTCTCTTCATCAGAAACTTCTGAAGGGATACTCTCCAGTTTATCGTCTTCTAAATTCAGCTCCTCGGTTTCCACAGCTGCTTCTGGTGTTTCGTTCCCACTATCCTCCTCTTTCTCCTTCTTCTCATCAGCTGCGCCTTGAACCTGCTGACTGAGCTCTTTCGAGGGCTTTTTCTCTTTGGATGGAGGAGGGGGAGGGTGGGAGTTAGACGGTGAGATTTCTGTAAGGTTGCTCAAGGAGCCACTGGAGCTTGGTTTGTTTGGAGGGGTGGGCGGTGGTCCTGTCTTTTTCTTAACACCAGCTTTTTGATCCACTGCAGATTCTTCAGCAGGTGGTCCACAGGGTTTGGCTTCTTTTGATGGAGGCATCGGTGGCTTCGGGACATAAAAAGAAAAAAAAATAAATAAAAAAAGACTTCCACAAATATCTCTGCAGTTACACAATACACAAACCTTTTTCTCTGAGCTATCGTCTGTATCAGGTTCATCCACAGGTGCCGGCTTGGATTTAGCCTCTTTGGTAGGTGGCATAGGAGGTTTGATGGCCTTTTTCTGGGTCGTGACCTCTGGTTCTGTCTGAGCATCCTCCTCAACAACCGGCTCGAATGGTTTTTCTGAAATTTTGCCGGCATCCGGCTGAGCCTCTCTGGAGGTCTCAGGATCATTGGTAGTGGTACGATGGGTTCCATTTGGCATCACTGCATCCTCAAGATCAAGATCCAAACGCAGGATGCCATCAGAGGAAACATCCGCCACCTAGAGGTTAAAATAATCCATACCAGGAAGTTAACTTATTTAAACTATGCACTGCACTTTCTTCATTACACTAAAGACTTTCAAATACTCTTTTTGGATCAAAGGAAAACAAATTTATTATCCTATTCAGGGATCATCTTCACACACATGTTCAATAATTAGTTGATTTGTTCAGACAGTGTATAAGACAATGTTTGACTAAACATCTTAATACAACTATAACCAAAAACCATTTGCAAACAGAAACATGGGAGTTCGCTCAACCAGTCTACATGTGTTTTGTGGACTTGGAGAAGGCGTTCGACCGTGTCCCTCTGGGACTCCTGTGGGGGGAGGGGGAGTTTAAGTATCTCGGGGTCTTGTTCATGAATGAGGGAAGAATGGAGCGGGAGATCCACAGGTGGATTGGTGCTGCATCTGCAATGATGCGGGCACTGTACCGGTCTGTTGTGGTGAAGCGGGAGCTGAATGTCTCGATTTACCTCGATCTACGTTCCTACCTTCATCTATGGTCACAAGCTTTGGGTAGGGATCCAAATTCTCCTACATTTTCAAAGCTATCCACAATCTTTCCCCTCCTTACCTGTCTGACCTCCTAAACATCTCCACACCCTCCCACTCTCTAAGATCTGCCTCCTCCCTCCAACTCTCAGTACCCCCTGCCCGCCTCAGCACCATGGGGAGCAGAGCTTTCAGCCGCTCTGCTCCACAGCTCTGGAACTCACTACCCCACAGATTATGCAATCCAACCTCTCTCTCCCTGTTTAAGACTGGCCTGAAGACACATCTTTTCAGACTAGCCTACAGTTAACTCCGATTGTACCTCAATATAAGACTGTTTTGTAGTCCTCATTTCTGTTTCTCCCCCACAACCCTATTGTTCAACTTATCTATTTTTTGTATTTCTTTACATGACTGTTATGTACTCCACATTTCCATGTTTCTGCCGCACTACCCTATCACTCTATGTATTTACATTTGTTTCTTTTCTATTGTAGTGTCCTTGGGTGTCCTGAAATGTGCTTTACAAATAAAATGCATTATTATTATTATTAAAAGAAAGAGATTGTGGATACAAGCAGACCCAGGACACGCTGGAGGGATTATGTCTCTCGGTTGGCCTGGGAACACCTTGGGATTCCCCCGGATGAGCTGGCCCAAGTGGCTGGGGAGAGGGAAGTCTGGGTCTCTCTGCTTAGGCTGCTGCCCCCGCAACCCGACCCCAGATAAGCAGAAGAAAACGGACGGATGGACGGACGGTTTCTGTTCTTAGTAAACTAAAATTTCTTCAGTTAATAAAATTTAATACAATTAAATAGTGTCTTCAGTGTTTTGATGGTAACTCAAATCAACTGGAATGATTCCGTTTAGTGCGTTGAATTGACATCTACTGACTGTGTCTGAACCAACTAAACAGGCTACTACCAAATCCCTCAAGAAGAGGGAGAAAACAAAAAGACATTTCTCTAAAATCCTCAACCACTCATTCTGGCTGACGTGTGTACCCACCTGTTGACATACAACATACGTACCTCCTTCATGTGTATCCTGGTTGGTGGCCGCCTGTTCCGGTTACCTTTGGGCCTTGTTCGAGTAACATGCTCTAAATTAATGCTTTCATCAATCTTTACCTGTGGCAAACATAAAAACATCTGAGCTCTGAAAGCTGCATGTATGGACAATAAGTGACAGAGATTTTGTGACTCTGCATCAAACAGATGTTTACCTCATCAAAGACTTTGTTTTTTGCACGATTGATGCAGTCGCTCAAGGCTTTAATCCAAGCCTCCTTTTCCTCAGCAGACTGAGTCTGAAACTTTACATCATGGACCTGCGGGTGGAGTAAAGCATCATGTTCCCTGCATTCAGATATCCACTTTTTATCAAGCTTGAGTATCTGAACAGTGGCACGACAGCACTGTTTAAAGAGCACACTACTGCTGCCCTACTCTCAAAATGTTTTTTTTTCATTCTATTCAACCTCACAGAACAGAGCAGGGTTACCCTGGAGAACACAAGAGGCAGCCAAGGAGCTCCTCACATCTCACTCAGACCACCCTCTCCTCATTCAGGAGGAAGAGCAACAATAGACTAACAACTACCAACAAGTTCAGGATCTCACTCCTAAACCAATAAAGAAAGGTTTGGAAGTGTTATGATTGTACAATAATACCTGCGCATGTTCGATGTTGCTTATCATAGAGCGTTGTGACTCATCACAAACCTCTCACACATCACTGTACCCTGTACTCACTGGTAAACTTCTACACTGATATACATTTATTTACAAATATATCCTCTGTCTGCAAAGACATTAAAGTCATAGTGTATCTTCCCAGGATTTCATTTCTAATTGTATTTGCCAGGCACATCCAGCGGCTTCTGTCCTGTGTCACATCATCAATAAACACTAGTGACCCAGTGCCACGGGCAGCCATGCAYGCCCAAGCCATCACATTGCTCTGCAGATGATGTGGGATGCTTTGCATCATGAGCTGTACCACGCCTTCGCCATACTTTTCTCTTTTCATCATTCTGGTAGAGGTTGATCTTGGTTTTATCTGTCCAAAGAATGTTCTTCCAGAACTGTGCTGGCTTTTTTTAAGTTGTTTTTTTTTAGCCAAGTCCAATCTAGCCTTTTTATTCTTGAGGCTTATGAGTGGCTTGCACCGTGCAGTGAACCCTCTGTATTTACTTTCATGCAGTCTTCTCTTTGTGGTAGATTTGGATATTACCTTTATCAACTCTAAAGTGGATCATTATCACATAAAGGATGAGAAAAGGTAAATTTTCCTTTCTAAAAAAAACGAAACTTAAGGCTGGTAAATTAACCAAGTGTAAATGTATGACTAAAGAATATTTGCAAGTATTCTCTTTTAGAAAATATGTGTGTATGTGTCTTTGTCAGTTTACAAGAGCATCGGAAAATCTGTCACAAATGTCAGTAATATTTGGGAACATTTTGAAAAGCCTAGAAATGCTACAGTTCAACCTCTGTTTTATTTTAAATTGCATCTGTTGATGTTTAACACAAAATACACAAGATGTAACGTCTCCTGACACCGCTGAGCCGTAGATAAATGGACAGTAACATCCAGTTCTTTTTCTTTCTCTCTGGGGCTAAAAATGACATGATGATAAAACGTACCCTGTCAGGTCTGGCCCTTGGAAAACTGCCAAAGAGTAAGATGGTCTGGAAACAAAACGTGTGATAGATTTGGAAAAAAAAATGCAGAATTTGMAAAACAGCCTGAAAATAATTGTGGCATGTTTTATTTTAAAGACTGTAAGAAAACAGAGGAGAGTTTAAAAAAAAGCTGTTCACAGACCTGTCCCAGACAGTCAGTTACAGTATAGTAAGTTTATATAAATGGGGAAAATTATATCATGAAAATTTGGGCCATTAGGTTAAAAAGTGACAGCAAGTTCCTAKTGTGGTGCAGCTGGGGTGAACTGATACACATGAGGGAGCGAAAAYCACCTCAAAGTGTCMGATTAYATGAAATCTGTTATTATKGTATTATAATTGGATTGAATGTCATTTTATTTAACATGTTCTGAATTAGAATCCAGTTGTTTACAACTGACGCAGATTGTACAGGAATGAAATAAAATTGAACTAAATGAAACTGGATTTGAAYTGGATCTGTTTGCTCCAGTGACCTGAGGAGTTGTGAATTGGTATTTTTTAATGAAAAAAAAAAAGAACTGTTGATGTGAAGTCAAATTCACAGCTGAAATATACTGTGTATAACTACAACTCATGTACCGTATTTATTCAAGTATAATGCGTAAAATTTAATCCATAGAATCAKCCATAAAGTTGGGGGGTAGTATTATACTCAGATAAATATTTTTACTTATGTATTTTAACTGAAATATTGGCAAAAAATATTGAGTCCGGAAATGAGACCGTGTTGTAAAAAGCAGTTGAAATGAGCTCACCTCTGATACTCCTCAGGTGCTTCAGAACGAGATAGTAACAGATCTAAGCAGGTGACATGATGTGAAAAAAAAAGGGGGGGGGTAGTCCTGCAGCTCAGTAATGATAACAAACTAATGACATTAGCGTGTGACCGAGCCGCCGCTCGAACAACAACAAACACACATGGCTGCCGTCTACCGGTGTTCTAAAAAGGTTTGTATCCCTGAAAAAAGTTTCCCCACCAGAGGGGGCGCTCGCGAGTAGGAAGTAATCTGCTTGTACCTGCTTGAAGATGRCCCAAATCTCATGTGAMGTCTCTGACTTKTGTGTTGGCGCATCGTGGTGGACTATGTGTAAAATGCCAGAATTCATATGATGCTGCTACAGCTGATATTTATTTCTTGTCAAAGTACGTTTTAGTACATATGTTGTTAAAATAAAATGAACAGTCCAATGATCATTTTACTGATATGTATAAAGACTGCAAAGTCTGAAAAATCTTGAAGTCTGTATGAAATTGGAGGTAGTTTGAGGATTTCATTTTTTATGCTTTTTAAGCTCAAAAAAAATGGGGGGTYGTATTAAACATGAGATCGTATTATACACGAATAAATACGGTAATTGTTCTCAACCTTTTTTATAAATATCCTCTGCAACTCTTTTTAGAAACACTGGAGGGTCTTTTAAGTTCACCAGCTGTTGTTTATTCAGTAAGATCTGCAGCAGCACTTCTAAATACCGGGCATTGGAAAAGTTGTTCAGCATTGTAAAGACTTATTATTAATTAGACTAATGATATAAAGGCAGTGATAACAAGAACTACGATCTATGTATTAAACTGTCTCCATAAGGTTAACGGCTCAACATTTAATCTGGTGTAGACACCAGTGGCGCTCTGTCTTTAGGAAAACAAACGGATTCTTAACTGATTTTTTTAAAATAATAATAAATGACTTTAGCATTGGGAYCACTAGGTGGTAAACCCCTAATATATCTCTATAGATGACAGGTTAGGTGGAATTTTGTTTCTTATTTATCACCAAAATCTTATAATGAAACAAACAGAAGCAGCAAAGTCAATCACTGACAATAAAATGGTGCTCAGAACTTTAAGCCAATGTATTCAGTCAATGCAAATAAACTAAATAAATTCACCTTGTTTTGTTGTTTTTTAGCCCATTCAAAACACAACAATGTTGACCAAAGTGGTTCACAAGTACAAAAAAAAGACAATGAATCATTGTACGTGCTGTATAGTAATTTTACAGTACATGTTTTGAAACACTCTCAGCTAGATTTGCACTAGCATGTAAGAAATCCCACACCTGTAATTACGATTCATTAAAATGCTGCACTCATTCAGGTCTTAAACTGGAAACATACTCCCTCCGAACTGCCGATGTCGGCACGGATTGTTGCAGTTTCATGATGAAAATTACATCACCGGTGTTCGCGGCGTCGGCTCGGTCGCCCCTTTTGGCACAACCCGCCGGCAGAAATTTTTACCCCCCTCCCGCGATGACGGTAATGTGTGATCGGTCTGATGTTCATGGGCATGTTTGTTTGTGCCGAAAGCACTCAGACACTCGGTAAAAAAAAAACAAAAAAAATAAACGACTCACTTCCAGAGCCGACTGTTACAGAAAGAAGTGTTTTATAAAGATAGTCAAACTGTGAAAAATTCATGAATGGAGATAAAACAGACGCTGTGCACGGAGGAATCTGACTGATAAAAACTGTGGAGCTTTTAACCAGGACAGATGTGGATAAAAAAAAAACGTCAGGTGAGTGACGAGTCTGACTTTTTTTTCTACATTATCGACTGTAGCGGGAAGAAACTCAGAAACAGTGACGTATGCTGCAGTGGGAGGGGATTCCCAGGAGCTTGGCGCAATATGTCTCTGGAGCTATGAAAGGTCTGTGTGAAAACAAACACCGAACAACCATGTGACCACGCGTCGACCAGTCGGCGTCGGAGCGAGTATGTTTCAGACTTTACTGAGCACCACAGCGTCTCCCAGCTCACCTTGTTTCCAGGCTTGGGGGATCGTATCAGTATCAGCCTGTGTTTTTTCTTGAATGGGCTCTTTAATTCGTGACACTTATCGTAGTTCTCCAGGTCAAACCTTTCCAAGCAGTTTTGCAGGTCCTAAAACACAAAGTGCACATACAGTAGATCACAACCAGAACCAAACAAGCTACAATAATATAGCTCCGCTGAGCCGTCAGTGTATTCATGTTAGTGCTTATAACACGTGCTGTACCTCATTTTCATACACAGCCAGCTCTGTCTTTTCCACGTGGATGAATCGATCTTTGTAGCTCGTCAACAGTTTGCCGTGAGCTTTCTTCATCCAACCAGCCTTGCTCAGGAACTTTGGCTTTTTGAGCTGAGGTGGGTCCTCTTTCGTACCCTGCAAYGATACAGAGGAAGGAAGTCACACTCATAACACACCTCAGACTACAGACAGAGTGCAGAGGTTTTGTTTTGTTTTGTTTTGGACACAAGACAAAACTTAGGTTTTAATTTAAAAGTTATCAACAAACATGTAGAATCAATTAGTAATGACCAGCAGTATAATTCAAGATGCTGACACGCATGCATTGTAAGTTACATCATACATGGTCATTCTCCAATTCTCTGCTGCTCATGGATGAAAAAACAAAAAAAGCTCGCGATTTCTATTCAAAAAACACAAAGTTTTTGGTGATACCAGTTTTTTGGCACCCATAATCTATAGAGACAACTTACAGCGGCCTGGATGTGCTGATATGAAAGGCAAAAGGTGACAGATGATGTTTTTGCCTGTGTGTGTGTTTTCAAAGCAAAAGATTTCCTGAACTGCTGAACAAAATGTAATGAAACTCTCACATTCAAGATGGCTGGCACAAAAAGGGCTGTGACTCATATACTGTATTTATAGGAGCTGAGAGTCATCCCCAGCAGATCTCACCACATCATTCCAGGTAGGAAGTACACACAATCAGGTGCACAATAGGCCTGTTATTTATCACACAATTGTCTAACGGTTCTAAGTTAAAACCACATGTATTTCTAGTTCCTCACAGCACTCCAAAAATGAATGTTGAACTTACTTATTCATGTTATGTAAACTGGTTCCACTCAGTTGAGTTGAGTAAATATAAAGCAATTTACTGATTTTCTTTGGAAGAAAATATGAGTAATTATTTCCACATCTGAGTCTGACAGGCGTGACGGCTGATCCACGGCTTAAACAGTTAAAGTGTGCAGGCTCCACTCGCTCTTCCTGCATGCACCAGTGAGTAATGGTGTGGTTATACTCTTACATCATGCTTTTAAGAKCAGGCAGAAACATCACTCTGACTGGGAAGGATCTGCATCAGAACCTTGGTCAGTTTACTTCAGCCTGCAGAACGCTGCCACTGACCATTTCAAAGCACATTTAATTCAACCCAGGGACTCACATGCAGAAAAGTGTTTACAAAAAGGTTCCAGTTTGTCCTAGTTTTATGTATAATTCTGTGATTCTTTGGGGAAAATAAATAGTAGCAGCTGAGAGCAGTGGTGTTTCAGGCTGGGAATATATATATATATATATATATAAATGTATTTTATTTCTCCTGAAATAACCATATAATGTGAAATATATAATTTAAAAAATAGCCTTTGCTTGAATTGTTATGACATTTTGAAGACTGAGTTTATTTAAGATGGCTTTGATCCACTTTGGAAGAACCAATATTAACCTGTCAAAAAGTTCCAAGCAAACTCCTTCCAAAGCAGATCGTCACTGTCRTAAAACACCTCCAATTGTTAAAATTCCACAGTGGTTCATGCAAATGATGCTATTTAAACCCTCACACCGCCCTCAGTTTCATGTGGCATGGTTACAGCATAAATAATATAAAATTGCAGCGGGAAGTGACTCAGGCTGTACCAGAAGTGCTACACGTCACTACTGCTGCCTCTGTAAGTGTTAATTTACCTCAGAACTTTACATAAACACCCATGTTTTGCAAAAGAAAAGTTTGAAATTTGAAAGTGGTGCTTGTATGAACCGCTGTGATCATTTTGAGATAGGAGATGTTTTAAGATTGGTCTTGGTTATATTTCAGACTGAGCTTGTTAGTTCTGAGCTCTAGTGCAGCAGTTCAATAAGTCATCAATAAGCAAGATATTATTTGTTCATATTTGGTCACAGAAACCAAAAAGGTTTATATTTTCTCTTTCATTTATTATAAACAAACAGTTCCTGGGATGAAAATGGCAGTATGTTAAAAATTACTACTTAGCATAAAGGTCAAGACGCAGTGTGTAATACTGTCATCAGCTATTTCAGAGAGGAAAAAAACAGTATTTTTTTACTGTTATGGAAAAACTGAGTTGAAGCAAATGTCAAAGTCATGTTTACTAATAATTAAGGAAGTTCTGCTTACACTGTGCTATTAATTTAAAATAATGCGATGGACATCTTGACACCAGTCTCAGAAATACTTTCTGTAATCTCACACAATCAAAGGCTTTGGCAGCATGTACTTTGATTCTTTGCTTCGCACATGACCTGMTTCAGTGTTTTTTGTTCAAGTACAAGTTTGCCACAGATGTGTGGTGAGGAACAACACGTCACCTCTGTGTTCAAACCCTATCTGAAGAGCCCGTAGGGGACAAATTAAAGAGCATGACAGCAGCAGTGCCACAGCAAACAGCACTAACTACCTCTATCAGGACAAATACCGTATAACACAAAGAAACTGGATAGTACATAAACACATCTAGTGGCCCTTTTCCACTAAGTAGCGCAACTACAGCACAATTCGAGTGGTTTTTCATTAAACTTCAGTAACAGCTCTAGTAGCCGGGTTCACTGTAAAGTTGGGCGATCCCAGAGTCTGAAGATTGACACACGCCTTACCAGCTGGTGGTGGTTATGCTCCATTTAGCTTTTTTTATTTTTATTTTTTACCATTTTTTAACCAGGCAAATCCCATTGAGATTGCAGATCTCTATTTCAAGGGAGGCCTGGGCCTGAAGGCAACCTATTTTACATGTTTTTGGCCCCCAATAAACATAATAGAAGAAGACCCCGAAAAGATACGCAACATAAGCATTGCTGAAGGTGGCACAGATAATAACATCACTGTTCTGGGACTATGGCTGGACGGTGCTATTCAGAGACTGGTCACAGACGGTTTTATTTTCAGATGCTCACGCATGTGCATACAACAGTTCATGGCTTCAGATACACTTCCCTTATCTCTCTCAATGCCTTTGCTCGTAGCTACCTGTGTTATCCCCCCCTCCCTTACACCCTCCTTATCTTCAACTGTACCCCRATCTTTGCTGTGCAGAGGGTTTTTTATGCAAATACAATAGTGTGTCACTTTTCGTGATATAATATGATGTTTTTTTTCCTCATCTATCCTTATGTGGTATTTCATTTTTCTTTCAAGGGTAGCGCCTACTCATGATGTCATGATTGATGATGATCCTTGCTCTGTGCAGGGTCTATGGCTGCATGACCAGGGGGCACCTGTTCTCCTATGTTTGTTTATGTTCTGTCTTGTGAACAGGTGTTCTAAACTGTAATTTTACCTTGGGATCAATGAAGTATCATTTGTTCATTCATTCATAACAATGGAGGACATGGTAACGTTGTTATTGTAAATGGTAAATTGGTTTGTTGTGAGAGTAGCTCTTGTGATGCAACCAGTGGCTCCACCCCCTAAACAATCAGTGACCAATAATCTWCTGACATCATGTTTTCAGGCCAGCACGGCACACTTGGAACCACAGTGAAGTAAGTTCTGAAAAAAGGGTCTGGTTCCGTAAATCCTTGCTAGTGGAAAAGCCTTGGAACCATGAAGAGCYGAGTCGAACCATGCTGTAGAGGCACCAGTGAAGAAGGTGCATAGATTGAAAGACAGAAAACTTCAAATTACCGTGTTGCTAAATCTCAAAATATGAAACCCAAAATAATGCAACTTGAAAAAGTGTAACTAAAGTTGGCTTTTGGAGTTAACCCGATTCAAGTTGGTTTCCACGAATAATGTCTATAACTCAGTTTTATAGATTGAGCTCAAATGTGACGTGGTAGGTGAGGAGAGTCATTCCCAACATATACTCTGAGAGTGACACTGTATCCTGTGAGATTATTTTTAAGGTTTGACCAAAACAAYTAAAACTTTGTCATTTCTCAACATATAATCTTAGCTGAATACTTGTGTATGAAAGGTGGTGAACAGCCTCTCTATTATGTGTGGAAGCCAAAGGCAACGTGTCAGGTATTTCACAGAACCAAAAGGTTTTTTTTATTAGAAACAGAACTTGTACTAATGTGAGCAGAATGTACCGTGGCTGCTGACCTACAATATGTGACAGATATAAACTTGWAGAATCAGCTCTGTATAAACCCACAAACTCCTCTTAAATAATGAGTAAAACACCAACAAATGCAGGTGTCAGCTTTGTTTCTGCTGAAGGCACTTCCACCAACAGGATATCTTTGTTTTCTGTTTTAGTTTTGAGTGGGAGGTCATTTAACTGTTTTTTTTTTTTTTTTTTTTACTTTCACTGAAGCTGCGAGTCCATCTGGACCCGGTAAGCAGCAATGCAGCTGCAAAGAGAGGAACGCCAAACAGGGGAGGGGAGACAATCAGGAAAAGAGAGGGGGAAAAAAGGTTTCTCCTGCAAAACAGTATGAGTGAAGAGGCTTTGCTTTTCAGTTTAGGAAAGACTTGGCTTTAGGGAGCTCTAAAACAAACAAACACATCAGGACAAAACCAAACCCTTGAAACATGAAATAAGGAAACACTTCAGTTATTCAGGCCTCAGTTGGACAGCACAGCTCTGCACAGTGATACCAGATGATTGGTTAGGGAGATTTAAATTTGAACACACACGCACAGGAAGTCAGCTCTGAACTCTAACCTGCCCACAGCTCTTTCTGGACAAAATTAGCTGTTATTTCTGGGGTGTTGTGGCAAGTTTTAAAGCAGAACAACTGCTAACCACAGTTCTGATATTTAAAATAAAAAATGTGCAGGGAGGAACGATAGATCAGTGCTAAGAAACCAAACGTGTTAATCTATTTTACATGGGCTGTCTTTGCAGAGGAAAAGAAAATAAAGCACATCGTTGTGCAGAGGAGGCACACCTTAACAGATGTGTTGTTGATGAAACTTTAGAACAGGGAACATCTGGCTTTCATTGATTTTCCAACTGACTCGCCCAGCTCAAGCTAACCACAAGCTTCATTGAAGCTCACACCTTTAGCCCCATTAAGGGTTAAGCTAGGAGATAGTGCTGGAGCAAGATGTTTTCATTAGAAGCTATCGCTCCTTTACTGACCTACAGTAAAATCTGGGTTACTGAATAATCAGCTATCATTTTTTTATTGAATAAAGTTACTTAAAAATCCACAAAGAAGATCAA